GTCCAATAGCTTGGTCCAAGTAAGTGTCCAGCACTGTCTGGCCCCGCTCTAGTTCAATTTCTGCACCAGGAATAAACGATGGACCTGAAAGTATGAAAACGAGAACAAAACAAGCAATCAGGTCTTAACGTTTTTTTTTCTTCGTGTCGTGCAATGCTGATATCAAATCATACTTGTGATTTCGAACTAAACTGCACTCCACTCAGTTCAGTTACCATTAGAAACGATTAGTTGTGATCCTAAAGTGTATGATAGTGCAAATAACAACACGTTTCATTGCAAGAGCATCGCAGCCCTTTAAATCCAACTCATTTTATATTTGGTCTATACTCTAAGAAGCTGCCACTTTGTAGCAGTGCAAATAGATCCTGAAGTTACATATTGCCTGAGGATGATTTTGACGATTATGCGCTTAGTACATGAATGCAATGAGAAGCGTGAAATTTGGTATGTTAACGGGTATGTCGCTGTTACTTGAAGTCTTTTTGTAGGCCTTAAAGATATAATTTACATGCAAAACCGAGTTTTCCTTTAGCTGTTACCCCCTCGAGTCTTTCTGACCTGGAAATTGTTTACTCACCAAACGTTTTCAACGCATAGGAACCAACATACTGCTCAATAAGACGAAGGCTTCCTTCCACGCCTGAGAAACTCCCATCAAATCCAACTCCGGCTCCCCTAGATCCATTTCCTGTTAAATTACCACCGAATCCATTTCTGGTAAAATTAAAACCAAACCCCAATCCAGTGTAATTTCCTCCAAAACTACCGAGTCCTGCGACAGAAAAAAGGCCATTGGTACCCACCGTAGCAAGTTACAAAATCTATATACAGTGCTACGTCTATCACTCACCGAAAGAGGTATTGCTGAAATGGATATTGATGAGTCTTCGAAATCTACTGTCCAGCTCATCATCAGTCAACCGAGAAAGAGTTGGTCCTGGAAACAAATACAAAACAGGAACGATAAAACAGCCAAACCAACATTGTTGATGGATGTTCTAGTCCCTTAACACCATAACAAATGCAAAGAACACAGAACGAGTCTAAAAGCTGTCGTGTCGAGTTCCAAATCTTTCAAGTGTTTCAGTTTGGTATAAAATCTCATGTCAACTGGGTGACATAGAACTCATCTGGGTGACAAACAGACCACAACCTCACTAAAGAAATACTCTGAGATCTATAGTCGTTCCGAACATCTGTTCATCCTCCGCCCCTTTTATCTAAGGTGGGGTCGCGGGGAGTTCTTAGACAATAACAGCCTTCAGTAAGCTTGATTATGACCCCCACGACCCCACCCCATTCCACGCGTCAGTCCACAGTCCTTTTCATAAGTCACGCAACACTCCGTATCAGTGAACTACTGCGTGACACATTATGACTATTATCACACAGAAATAAGTTCACAAGTTCACTTAACATACAAAATAAAAGGGGATGGAGAATCTCATTAGTTCACTTACCATATGTTTTGTTCACGTGAGATTCAACATATCCTTGTATCTCCTGCTGAGCGGCAGATGTTCTCAAGAGATTTACACCAGATGCGTTGAAGTAAGATTCCACATACTCCTCCACAACTTGCTGATGTCCTGAAGTTCTTAATAGATTTCCCCCTGATGTGTTGAAGTAGGATTCAACATATTCCTGGACCACTTCCTGAGTGCCAGAATTTCTCAACAAACCTCGGCCGGAAGTGTTGAAGTAAGACACGACATACTCCTGTACCACTTCCTGAGCGCCAGAATTTCTCAAAAGACCTCGGCCGGAAGTGTTGAAGTAAGACACAAAATACTCCTGTACCACTTGCTGAGCGGCTGAAGTTCCGAGGAAACTCGCGCCAGATTGATTGAGGTAAGACTCCACATGTCTTTGTACCTCGTGACGAGCGCCAGGAGTTCCAAGGAGACTACCGTTGACTGTAAATAATAAACAGCAACATCGTCTCACCAGCCTACTGCCGTTGTAGCAAAATCAGTAAGGACGATCTTTACGAGAGGTGGTAACCAATTGCTACTCGTAATCTTGTATTTCCATGGCCTTCCTTTTTCAATCCTTTCGCTCCCATTAATAACCACAAATGCCGTGAAATTCTCCTTCCCAATAATGATTGTGTTGGACAGGCAGTGAAGAAAACCCAAAGGTTTGGAGGGGAGGGGGTTTGGATCCCCCCGCCGCCCCCCCCCAACCTCGCTCATTCCCATCTCCCATCAAAAAAAGAACTTAACTCGACTTTTCAACCCCCCCCTTCCCCTACCTATTCATGTACAAATGAAGAGAGTAAATAAATCAGAATAAATGCCCTACCCAGGGTGCAAATGCTATATCCTTCTGCATTCTGAAAAAAACAAATAGATATTATGTGCATTCTCTTCTCCTTATGGGGGCTCCTATGAAGAAAATAGGACACCGCTGACTTTTAAAGCTCCAAGAACTGACCCTGAGTGTCTGGAACTCACGTGCAAGAGTGAAGAAGCAGCATACTGCAGCAGGATGACTGGTAAACAAGGGTGTAAGATACACACAGCCAAATTAGCTACAGAACGAAACGACGGATTTATCTAACGTACACATATTTCGAACTTTAAGATTTCGATTGCTGGCTCCCTGTGATAAACGAAAAGATCAGAGCCTTATCCAATTCTCAAATTGAAGAGAGAATGAAAACATTTTTCGTTATGCCTACCGTAGTACAGTTCAACTTGGCGAAACTGTGTTGCTGTTGATCTAGACCAACATCGGGATGTGGGTTTTCTTCGTCTGGTCCCGGTTCAATCTGACGAATAAGTCGAGATCTGACGAAATAATCATCGTTCAACCGTGAAGCTTCCTTGTCATTCTTCACCACTGAGGGACGAATCTCTGCCTTCACTTTGTCGATTTCCTTGCGAAGATCGTAGACATGAAAGGAGAGAAAAGCAACCGTGGTAAACAAAATCACAAAGCTGATGAACGTCAGCCAATGGCAGATTGATGAACGTGCGTCATGGTCAATTTCCCTCTTCATGACGAGAAATAAAAGTACAGTATTCTTGATGATCTCCTTTTCTGAGGGTCATTGTATTACTGAGCTGATTCAAAGGTGTTCAGTTACCAAACATTGAAATGCGATGTTGGGTCATCCAATAATAAAATCCACCTACACAAAATATAACTATTTCTAATTTCGAAACAAACTGGAACGTACCTTGGTTAAATTAAAATTAGAAGGTTTTATCGCTGAAACGATATTAAACTGGTGTCTTAGAAGGCTGTTTGAATTCAAAGTTTTTTTTATGTTATGATCATGGTGGTGTTACATAAATGGCTCTTGTCACATACTTGACACCCAGCGCATGCGATAGCCTTGTTGGCACTTTCTGCGCCAAGTGAGCTGCTGACGTCACGTCTGTTGTCTTTTCAAATGGAACCTGCTGCGCAGCGGTTGTTTGGTCTGGTCACGCACAAGGAAGAGTGCCTGACGAGACCAAACATTTATCCAAAGAAGACTACTTGACACACCAAAGGCCCACTAGTTTCCTTTGTAGTCGTTCTTCGAGATGTAACGCACCTTAAAGAACGCCTTTAAAGGAGATGAATAAGAATATTAAAATTAAACGCTTAGCGTAATCAGTTCAGGGGAACCAAGCTAGCCTTGCACAAAGACTGTGGGTGTGTATTTACAGAGGGAGGGGATGAACCTACCAGAATGCCCTTGGGAAATGACAAAGCGATTGAAGAGGCAGGCAAAACTTACCTGACATCTCAGGAGAAGAAGTTGAACTGAACACAGTTATCTGTGTAAATCCCGACGAATATTAAAAAAAAGCAGAGCGAGAATTAACAAAATACACTTTATGAACATTACAAAACATACTTACCTTCATATTATGCCCGCTGCTGGGGCTTTGCACTGTGGGCTCAAGGAAAATTGCATATGGCGGCGATGGCGGCTTAAATTGAAGAAAATTGTCAAACTTTATATCTTTGCACTAGAAATCATCCCACTGCTTTTCGAATGACTTTCTCCGAGATGATTGCTTCTTTAGGAAGCAATCAGTTGTTTTCAGCAGGATTTGGATTAGTTGGTGTTGGTGCAGGGCTTGCAGTGTTACGAAAAGGAGGTCAGTTTGCCTTCACTGCCTTCCGACGATACGCAGTAATTACTCTTGAAGTTCCCAGCAAAGACAAGAGTTATCACTGGGTTCTACAGTGGATCGCCGCTCAGGGTCAACGAGCCCAACATCTCAGTGTAGAGACAACTTTTCAACAACATGAAACAGGGAAAATAAACACGCGATTTGACTTCTCGCCCTGTCCTGGGGTTCATTTCTTCAAGTACAAAAACAGCTTCATTCGTGTTGATCGATCACGAGAGAAGATGGTCGATCTAACCACGGGGGCGCCTTGGGAGACTGTAACACTCACATCTCTTGCGACGAACAAACAGTTGTTCTTCGATATCTTGAGCGAGGCGAGGCAAATGGCACTAGAAAAACAAGAAGGAAAAACTGTCATGTACACAGCAATGGGCGCCGATTGGAGACAGTTTGGTTTTCCAAGGAGAAAGAGGCCGCTGGACTCGGTGATTTTGGACGATGGTGTCTCTGAGAAAATTTTGGCTGATGTTAAAGAATTTATTGCATCTGCCAAGTGGTACATAGACAGAGGTACTGTTTATATGTTGATAAATAGGGTACATTTAGGGCTGGGAACATAACCAAGGTACCAGGGTAGTTCCCTTGCTAATTTCATGCTGTTTCCCTGTGGGCTGGTGGGCTGGTACATCAGTGGTTTCAACTGTCTGTGGTCTGTCAATGTTGTGTTCATTAAGAGGGTGGGAGGGTGGGAGGGGGGTATAGGAAAGCCCTGATGACTAGCATGCTGTACCTGGTGTATAAGAGGTCTGTGTTAAGTGCTGCCTGGTTAACAGGGTTGTGATCTTGGGCAAGATGTTTCACTCCCATAGCACTTATCTCCCCTCAGGAGTATAAACTGTTGGGGAGGGGGAAGGGGGATTACTCCTAGTCATTTCATATTGCAGAAAGAATAATGAGGTCTTGCAATGTGGGCTGCTAGACTCAAGAGTTTACTTTTTCTAACCTTCCTCTTTTAAAACAGATGTTTCTAAAGGTAAACAGTTATCTGTTGTAGTAACTGGGTGAAAGATGAGTACTACTGTTGTCATCATTTTAAAAAAAAATTGTAAGCAGTCTCAAAATGCTGATATTTCTCTATGTCTATAGGAATTCCATACAGAAGAGGTTATTTATTGTATGGACCTCCTGGATGTGGGAAAAGTAGCTTCATGTATGTTTTGTTTTGAAATATAACATGTATATAGTGTTCAGTGTAAAATGCATGCAGTTGTAACTTTGCAGATTTAACTTCACTAATATATGCAAATTGATGTTTAGAGCAAAATCAATTTTTGTTGCTCTCATATATATCATGGTGTAATCTTTTCAAGATTTTGAATAAACACAACATTAGTAGCAGTGACTGGTCAAAACAAAAACCAAAATATGTTTAGTTTAGTAATTGGAATATATCAACAAAGTTGAAATGGTAAATTGGCCACTGTTAAGATTATAAAAGCTGACGTTTCGAGCGTTAGCCCTTCGTCGGAGTGAATAGAGGAATTGTCTAGCGACTGGTTTCAATGTGTCCTTGTCATTCCTCTCCACGTCGTGAAGGTGTTCTTGGAATTGGTCACCTAGTCTTTTTTGGTCAGAAGTTCTTTTCAGACAGACTAATGACCAACCAGGCACTTTTAAATCTGCTCGTGCAGGATGCAAAACTTGTCCTTTCATTCACAACACTGAAAAAATATCGGGACCCAAACGATCCATTAAGATCACTGATCACTTCACGTGCACCTCCGCCAATGTAATCTATTGCATAACTTGCACTTATTGCAAAAAGATTTACATCGGTGAAACAGGCAGAAGACTAGGTGACTGATTCCGAGAACACCTTCACAACGTGGAGAGGAATGACAAGGACACATTGAAACCAGTCGCTATACATTTTAATTTACCTAATCATTCTAAGCAACATATGGCAATCTGCGGTCTTTCCTTGCACTTAGGTAGCACGGAAAGCCGTAAAACTCTTGAACAAAAGCTCATCTTTCAAACCAGCAGTCTAAATCCCACAGGTATTAATGAATGCTTTTCATTCCACTAATTTATTCGTGTTTGTCTCGTTGCCATGTTCCCACCAATAAAGTAGCTCCATTTTTTGCCTTTAAAAGCACACACAACCCACAATTCCTCTATTCGCTCTGACGAAGGGCTAATGCTCGAAACGTCAGCTTTTATAATCGTAACGGTGGCCAATTTACCATTTCAACTTTGTTGATATATTCAAATTACTTCGTTACTCCCACTGACGCAGCCCCAAACAGTTTCTTTAGAAACTATCAGCCTCTATTTTTAGTTTAGGTCGGTTAGATTTGACTGTGTATAACATTCAGCAGAAACCAATTTATTCACATGTGTGATCAGACAACAGGAGATTGTATGCATCCAAGGGACTCCAAACTTAAAGTGCTGCATTATTGTTTTTGTCTGCAATATCTGCCAACATTCATAACCATTTACCTCTTCTAACTATGATCAATAAAATGCAACTTTTTTGCTTGAAACATGGGATATTGTTGAGGAAGTCCTAGAGAAAAAATCTTGTACCAGGCATCTCAAGGGAAGCATGTTGAAAGTATCTGGCAAGAATGTGGGTTGATAACTGTAAATGTGTATAAACTTACATCCAATATTTTACCCACAGAAGTATCAAATCCAGAATCTACTACAGTACCTGAAGTTACTTTTTGCCCCAATCTGAAAACGTTGGTTTTTGTCTTTAACCCTTTAACTCCCAAGATCTGATTTTAAATTCTCCTTTCTAGAGTACAAATTTCTCTTTTAATTATAGTAGTTACCAGAAATTGTTGTTAGGTCCAGACAACAACTTCTACCTGATGAGTTTGAATTTTCTCAGTACCTGTTTGTATGGATATCATAGGGAGAGGTTACAGGTTAATCACTTGTGTAGAACTCTCAGTAGTGAAGCATTTAACCAATATATGAAAACAACTGTAGTCTCATCGTGTATTTCCAGCTACAATTCATTGTTGCTGTATTTTTGTTATAACTGAATTAACTCTCTGCCAATTAATGTAATTTTTTTTGACTATCAGACAAGCACTAGCAGGAGCTCTGGACTACAGCATATGTGTCATGAACTTAAGTGATCGCAGTCTGTCAGATGACCGCCTTAACCACTTAATGAGTGTAGCACCCCAGCAAAGCATAATTCTGTTAGAAGACATTGATGCTGCCTTTGTTAAGAGAACCGATGAGAAGGAGGAAGGGAGAGCAAGTGGCTACATGAACAGGGTATGGAAAAAATATTATGGGTACTGATTTCCCTAAAAATCCAATGTAATACACCGAATGCAAATATGGCATCCAATTTGAATTTCCATTGTTCTGGACTGACTAGCCTCGTCTTCACGTGGAAATACAAAAGGATTATTACATGTGTGAGAGGCTAGTCAGTCCAGAACAATGGCAACTCAAATTGGACGCCATATTTGCATTCGGTGTATGGGGTTTGTGAAATATTAGGAGTGTCAGCCATTCTTTCCCCATTTCTGGTAAGTTCAAGAGGATGAGTTATCCTGGGGACTAGATTTTGCCTATAGATCCTTTTGACTAATTTCTTTAACTCACTCCTAATAGCCTCAAAAAAGAATCCATTTCCTAGAATAACAAGGTCAAATGAAGTCAAACTTTCTAACCTTACATCCGCTAGCATCCAAGATCTGTTGAGTAATTTTTCTATCTGAAAAGCACAGTGATTTTGTATTGTATTTCACCCAGCGTCTAGTGGTAAGTTTGTGTGAAATAAAATACATGTCAATTTTTGGGGGGGGGTTTAAGGTAAAGAAACGAAACATTTGATGAGCCACGGGTTTTTTGTTTTACTTTTCTTTTAGGCAATAGAATTATTTTGGGAATGTCAATAATTTCACAGCCAGTGGGCTTTTAGGAAAACTTAAATCTTTAAGTGTTTTTCAGGTCCTTTCTTTATGTTATCAGATGTTGTAGAAAGTGATGGTGTCTGAGTTGTTTTGCTCTGTTACTTTCTCTTCAGGTGACATTTAGTGGTCTTCTGAACACCTTAGACGGAGTGGCATCAGCTGAAGAACGCATCGTTTTCATGACTACGAATCACTTAGACAGGCTCGACCCAGCCCTTATACGGCCAGGCAGGGTGGACGTCAAGCAGGAAATTGGCCTCGCTTCCAAGTCTCAGCTACAAAAGATGTACACTCGCTTTTATCCTGACCAGGTCCCTTCTTGGGCAGAGGAGTTCGCTGATAAAGTAATGAGATTGGAACAGGGAAGAAGCATTGCGCAAATACAGGGACATTTTATGCTATTTAAAAACGACCCATTCGGCGCCATAGAAAATACTGAAATTCTTAGCAACTAGTTTACTTTTCTGTTTTGAATTAAAATGAATCGAAAGATCAGTGGTGGGTAGTCATTGCTGGTAGAAAGTAGATAGTTGCCTACAAATATAAACGCTCTTTTTTTGGCATAAATATTGCGAAAAAATGATTAAAAAAAGTAGGTAGCAATTTATTCCAGTCCAAGCTCTTTAAACAGACTCTCGTTAGCTTACAGCTCTACTTACCGTTACCTTGACAGAATTCCATTAGAATTCCACTACGAACTATGTACTGAGTCATTCTCGATCTCGAAAGCGAAGGCGCACATGCGCGTTGCACAAGTGACGCAGAATTTCCTTTGTCCATTTTTGTCTCCACCTTTTTCTTTACTTGACCGCACACGGTTGGAGAATTACTTTTCTTGAGGTACATACGCAAGTCACAAGTCTGTGGTGTAAACGGAAGAAGTTTTCTTCATTTTACTAAGTGAACCTGAAAGCTTGTTTGAGTTCTTCGTAGGGTGGAAGAAAGCTTGGATCGAACGGCTGACACTTTTCAAATTCACGAGGCCGGACAGCCGTTCAAAGAAGTGGGCAATAATTGTCTTTAATACTGCTTGTGGCTACCCAAGAGAAACGTTCCCGTAAGCAATAAGTTTCAGTAACGCTCAATATTTTTTGCTCCTGCGTATCCACTTAATCAAGCCCTATGTAGGTGCATATATCTCGCCAAGTCATACTGACCAACCAATGAGTTGAATTATTAACGTTAAGCTTACAACTGTGGTGATGTTTGCGCGTGCGTATCTAAGGGCCCTGCATAACACCCACGGCAAGGTCGGCCAACATTCCTTCTGTATAAATACAAGCATTAGGGGTGACGGATGAGATATCTTAAAACTTAACTTGTTTAACTTTAATTCTATCTTGACTTCACTTTGAACATAGCTTAAGAATGCGTTGATGAAACATTGTGCAAAGCACTTCCGTCTGGCGTCAATGTCAATTACAGTTATAAACATTTCCCCAAACTTTGCTTCTCACTATTGTTTGTTGAGAGTAAAACCTCACTGAAAAATGAAATGGCTACAGCAAAAATTTTTGTATAAACAAAAATTAAAAGGTATACAAAGTCATGCACTAGTACTCCTGGCTTTACGTTAGCTACCTTAAAGAAGAAGTCTGACATAAAGCCAAAGAACATACCAGAAAGTCGTAGGCTCAAGGGAGTAGATATTGTTTAATAACGAGATTCAACTGTTTTATATAGGCTTAGTTCATTTCTTGGACTAACACTCGAGCATTACCGAAGGTCGCGCTTCACAGAACATCCACTATCCTCTGGGTTTAATATGTTTGTTTATCGGCCTTTTTCTCAGTAGTAATCATGATGAGGGTATTCGTTAAACAGTTGTTACGAGCTTCAACATAACGAATCTGGGGGTCTTTTAATTTGCATCTATACCTGCCCTCGCATCTATAATTGGCAATGAATGCAAAATATGGCTTCTTCTCCTCCCTCCCACATAAAAAATACCACGCTGTCTGAAAGCTGAACATTCCTCAAAAACTTAACATGAAAGATAACGAATATTCGCAAAAAATGTTGGAGTAACGAAAACAATGCCAACAAACGAACAAACTGTGCGTTTTTGATTTAGGCGAAAAAATGGTTATGGTACATCGGAGCTGTAAAGACAATTAGCAATTACATGTAGAAATGCAGCTGGAGAGAGATATAATGTCGAGATCAATAGAGTTCTTCCTTCTCCATGAGATCCAATAATGATGACTTTTAATGTGCGTTGTCGTTTCAAAAAGAGCAGTCATCAAGTGGTCATCAAATCAAATAGGGTGGCTCCTTATGAGTTTTATCGGTTTTAAAAAGAACTATTTATTTTCCGCTAACCAAAACAAAACGAAAGGCTGCATTGCGCAATAATTCCATCTGGTCAGATTATTATTAGATTAGTGCACCTTTACTGACAAAGCAGTTTTCGTTAAATAAGCTAGTTGACATCATCACAAAGCGATTTCAAATGCCACCTTCAGAGTTATTTCCATTACATTACAAACTCAACTTGAAATTCTGTTTTATCACATATCTAGAGGTTCTTTTTCAGCAGTACAATGGCATTTAAAGGAAATCTAAGAAATTTTTAAAAATTACAAGAGTTTCCTAAATATTAGGCTTTTGTTTATAAATTATAATATTGTTTATTAATTCCAATATCGCGATTACTTCTAATACAGTGCCAGATGCGAAGTCACGATTTAGTTTAAGCTGAAAAGTTTTAAAAAATTAGAAGACAAAAAAAAAAAAATAACCAAGGACTAACGATTCAAAGAATACAAGGAAACTAATTCACTCTGATGGTATTCCCATGGTGGTTTGTGTCATAAGTTCAGGTCTGGAGGGGTTTTGAACTGCTGTGTAATGAAATCATTAGCGATAAAAGTCATTAATTTTTCTTGTGATATAGTCAATGAGCCATAAAAACAGACCCATACAAGTCTCACAAATTATTTTGAAGGAAATGCTTCTGCCGAAAAGTGATGACATTATAATTTAATACATGTCTTTCGCTATTTCCGTTACATCTATATACGTACGTATTCCATTCTGTAGTCTATTTGTTGCCTGTCAAATTGCCCTTTTTTTTGTGGCAGCTGATACATTTTGAGGTTTTAACATTTCTTTTCTCTTTTTTAATAATTAATTTCATTAACCCACGCGGTGACGTCAAAACATAGTGAAATTAAAGACCCAGGCAATCAATATTACGATAAAACAGTGATAAATAAATAAATTAAAATTAAAACAAAAAAAACAACAAATACCACGTTAATTTGCAAGTATATATCAATAAGCATTAGAAATCACTGCCAATACTTGTTATGGCGATGGAAGTGTCAGACTATCAACATTAACAACTGACGTACCTGTTCTTTTAAACTTTCATCTAGATTTTGGATCCAGTGAACAATTCATTTTAAATTAAGCACGTTATTAAATGTGACCATGTTGGTGGTTATCAAATCAAGACATCAAACAATATCCAAAATCAAACGCTATCACTGGTTGCTATGGCTTGGAAAAAATGCCCTATGACGTGGTCTAATTTTCTTAATCCGACACATTACTGACTACCAAGCTACTAGAACATCATATTTTGCAAAATTTCACATGCCGAGATTAATCTGCTATGAAACAGCTGTAATTCTTGCTGAAGTTTATTTGTCTTATTTTTGAAAACATCTTTAGTGCAATAAGAAAAATATTCCTTTAAAATAAAGTTAATCAAAGTAATACTGAAATGATATAAACTTACCTAACAGCTGTACTACCAACTTCATTGTTTAACCATTAGTAGAAAAACAACAAACCAAAAATTATTGGCCGAGTCAAGTTTCTTAGCGAAGCTCGCTTATGCTGATGAGGTATCGCTTTATATCTTTTGTTATTAAACGTTTCTCGCTCTTCGGTACACGTTAACCAACTGAAGGCGCCCATGTGCCCATATCATGGACAAACATCCTGTTTATTGGTTATCATATGCACCGTTTCTCTAATTTTTTAATAAGCAAAAATGGTTTTAACCACTTCCTTCCCAACTTTTTGTCAAATTCAACTCTTGATCCTAAGCCCAATTATGCACCAAAAAATTAATAATTACATGGGCTATGATCAAATATTTTTGTCTTGAAAAAATTTTTCCACCACTCTGAACACTGTTTTTACTGTGACGAAAGATTTCAACAAACAAAGTATTGGACCCTTGATATGGGCTCTAGATTCAAGACACTAGTACTTAATGACCGTCTCATTACTCGGTAGATATTAGCTGCGGAATCGTTCACGTGTCCCTCATGATTAATGACAGCAGTGTATTGTACTTTAGCCGCACAGATGGTAATGAGCAACAAACGGACGTTTAAAAGGACGGAAGGTGCGTTCTGAGCTCATCAAAACCAGATAGGCTCTCTACAACCACGATCTGATATTTACGTGAAGATCAATCAAATACTTTCTATTCAAGTCCAGCTGCAAGGTTAAGGTAAATGGATTGTTTTTAATTTCAAGTCCTGTGTAATTATGAAAAATGAAACCTCTCCGATTTCGCCTTGCTTTTTCCCAGTGAGCGTTCCAATGTAACAAAATTTTAGCTTCTGGTTGCTGATAACAAACTTGACTCGTTTGTCTTGAAATAACAACGAGGACTTACTGCTTTATGGCTAGAATTGATAGACTACCTTTTCTTTATCTAAGTTCTAACAGTTTCGTCGGACTCGGTCTACCCTTTTTTCTTGCAAAAGAGACCGAAATAGGTACCGCGTGAAAATTGTTCGCATCTTTATGCGCATTACTTTACAATGTTGTTCAATATTTTGTCAACACAATCAGCCAGAAAAAGGAAGTAAGGATCTGAATTGTTAACTCTGTAATGGAATGCAAAAATGTATCTATTCAAGCACTTATCGTGGTGTCATCTTTTCTCTTGAAGTTTTTTTTGGGTGTTAACAGAGCTCGACACTAAAGGTAGCCAACTAGCCACAAACTAGTAGAAATTCAGCTTTGGCAAGTGGTTTTCGATTTCCACTAGCCAGTCTGGCTAGTAAACAAACTGAAATTGTCGTAACATCGAAGTTGTCACTAGCCACATTGCTGGTGAGTTGAAAAGTTGGTGTCGAGCCCTGGTTAAGTGGGAGAATATTTGAGAATAATCTTCACTTAAACTTGACAATGGTATAAATACTAGTCATGAATAATCTCACCGTCCCACTGCTCGTACTATTTAAGGGCGGCCTAACTCTTGTATGTTTTTTTTTCCCATAGGCAGAGAAGCAGTGAAAGCAGTGAAACATCTAGAAATGTGGACATTAAGGTATTGAAACGAAGTTTAAAACTAAAATCCATACATTTTGGAACTACCTTTGACATATGTCTTTTTTTATACTTGGTTACTTTAAAGAACAATACACACTTGAGGTGAAATCAAATATGCGATTTAATTCTTGGATCACACGAATTTGGTAAATTGAAATTGAAGTAAGGATGCGACATTAGCATCAATTAAAATTGTTAAGAGCTCATAGCTTCCTCTTGTTTCAACTGACAATTTCCTCAATATTGTAGCTTTCTCTTTGCTGCGGGAGCATGTCTCTTTCTCAGTTGGCCTTCCGTTGGTGGAACTCCTGGCAATTCCGATACGTTTTTAAGGGTTGACCGCCTCTGTCAACCGGTACCTCTGTACCTTCGTCTAAACTGTATCAGGCGGCGGTACCGCATGTTCGACGGGACATGCAACAATCTGTGCAACATAACCGAGGGCTCTGCCGAGACTGGGTTCGACCGCTTCCTCCCACCAGCCTTTCAAAACGGAGATGGGCCTAGACTCGCGTCTTCATCTGGTGCTCCACTGAAGAACGCGCGAACGATCAGTAGAAACGTGTTCAAGAGTACGTCTGAAGATGCAGGTGGGAAACCACCACCTTTCACACACGTCACCATGACGTGGGGCCAATTCATTGATCATGACATCACGTTAACTGAGTCCAACGAGACTGCGGGATGTGGGACCAACAACGAACAATGTCCCACCAATGTTCCGGGATGTATAAGCATACCGATCTCACAGAACAACCCGGATGATCGACTGGTGAACAATCTAACTGCTCAATGCATCCCCCTATCACGATCAGCATTGAAAGATCGCGAACAGGTTAGAGATTCCTGCAGTCTTTTACGGTCATTTTCATCATTGCAGTTGAAATTTATCTCTTATTAACTAACGAACCCCTTGAGAAAGGTTGCGTCCTTTCCTATGCAACGTTACCTTGCAGTGCAGTAATATTGATTATGCGTGCAACTTTAACGAAACGCAAAACATTTCAGTCAGGCAAAGAAAGCGAAGTCCAAGTGGAATTGGAGGTCCCATTATTGAAAGAGGAAATGCCTGCCTTTAAAAAATAACTACTTTGATTTAGCAAAGGAAACCGTTAAAAAGACTCGTTAACTTTTTTCAGATTAACTTAGTTTCATCCTACATTGATGGTTCAATGGTGTATGGAGCAAACTGCGAAGAGGCAGAGAGCCTCCGAGACAGAAAAGCAAATATTGGAGCTCTACGTGTTCTCCCGCTGCCCGTAAGACGGTCTGACAGGATGCCAATTCTACCTGTGGCTAGTCCAGAATCTTTTTGTAGATCGCCGAGACCTGCAGTGAGGCCTTGTTTCCTTGCTGGTGATTTTAGGAGAGTCAATGAAAATCCTGGTAAGAAAGTCTTTGTGGGACAACATATTTCCTGCTATTCTTAAGGAGATCGTCTCTCTCTCAATTAGTCACATAAGCATTTTGTTGAGGTCATAAGCGAGACCGAATAGAGTTTTGACAGTAAGCATAATTGTTAATATCTCTCACTTCAATGCATGCAACTTTTAATCCCCATCTTCAGTAATCTCTTACATTAAGGAACACAACAGCTCTGAATTCAGTTTGGACGAGGAGAGTAACACCTGGCTTATAAGAATCATATGAACCATACCAAGAGCAAAGTTTTAAAAAATCACCTAAATCCCTTTCTCTTTTCTTTATCTTTCAGCGCTTATGGTAATGCACACTCTTCTTGTGCGTGAACACAATCGCATCGCACGGTTCCTTCATTATCTGAATCCAACATGGCACGATGAAAAGCTTTTTCAGGAGGCACGAAAAATAGTGATTGCTCAAATACAGCACATTACGTACAACGAATGGCTTCCTGTTTTGTTTCCTTCTAAAACATTGGTGAGGATCGATTTACTTTGAAAATACATGATACTTAATCCAAAATGTTCTACTCAACAGTTAGATTTAGAGCACGAGATTTCAATCGCTTGCTAATTGACGACGAAGGCCGATTCGAACACAGCGCATAGAAATCGAGAACGAATGATCTAATTGTTTTGGCATAAAATTACTTGTCGTTCATAACTAAACAACAAGGAGGGCTAGTGTTTTTGTTGACAGACGATGATAGACTACTTACTTTACCCACTGCCTATCATAGAATAGATGGCGAGTTGTATAGCCAATCAGACTGCAGCATCTGTAAGAGAGAGCGTTGGTTGGTTTACACGAAATATCATGACATTGGCTGTGAGAATACTACCTCTCCTTATGCTTACAGTGTTAGTGTAAGAGTACATTGGATTACCTCCTACCTTCGTCTGCGCATCATTTCAACGTCGTTCTTCACATAGTGCACTGAGTAGAAACTGGAAAGAAATACTTTGAATTTACATTCTGTTGACACAATTATCTACACATTCACTAGGTATTGAATTACGTTCTATTCTAACGTGTAGAACCTTACAATAGAGTAAGTCAGGGCGGACAAATGACCCCAAAACTTGATCAGGATAAAAGCGACGTATGCACTGTTGTGCTTGGAGTCAATTCAGGGGTAACTAAATTCTCCAAACTCCTGCCTGTCATCCAGCTTATTTAAATTTTCTAAGTCATCAGTTCTCATCTTTATGTCATGAAGTAACTTTGCAATGTTTTGATTAGGATAACCACACCTCCTTTGAACAGGTGTTGGTGCAAACAATATCATGAAAAACGGTCAGTAACTTTATACAATACATCGTACAAAAATGCTCTATTTGAAGTTTTAATCATTTCTTATCCATGTGGTCTTTTATTATATTCATTGTGTTACAAAAAGAGAAGTAACGAGGGACTTTTACCGGAGCCATCAGGCCAGTTCTTTAGCGGTTACGACCCAACTGTGAGGGCGACAACCTTCAACGCATTTGCAGCAGCAGCCCTCAGGATGGGCCACTCCCTGATTCGACAGACATTTGGACAGTTCAGTAAAGCATTTGTGCGACTGGGGGAAATAAGCACCACGACATTTTTTAATCCTGATCCTCTCTATATTTTGAGGAACAACGGTGTCGACGGAATTTCTCTGGGGCTAACACAAGAACCATCGCAGCAGTTTGATAAGTAAGGGAACAAGTCTCACTTTTAATAATAGTGCTATAACAGCAATAATGATAAAGGATTTTTATAGCGCCATGTCCTTTAGCTCGTACCACTTTACAACACTTTGCGGTGGATTTTGGCCAGGCCGCATTGAGCAGTTTAGAATTCTTGAAGGAAATTTTTGAAGGTGTCTTCCTGTATTTTCCAATGTACTTTTAACGTTCCTGAAGAAATACTTCACATTCAAACACCTCTTGAACGGCAACTTAAATCCATAAACCAAATACCTTGGCAAAATAAAAAATTTAATGCTTTGTTTTCCTAACGTAGGAACTTCGTAGAAGCTGTACGCGAAAGTCTCGTTATAGAGGGACCAGCCGTTGAAGGTGTTGTAGGAGACCTCATGGCAATCAACATCCAACGTGGTCGTGACCACGCCCTACCCCCCTACATACAATTCAGAAGCGCTTGTGGCTTGGATAAAAACTTAACCGGTGGACTCGTCACAGATTTTTCACAACTAACCAACATTGACCCGGTGCAACTGGGTAAAATCAAACAGTCTTATGACTCTCCCGCTGACATAGACTTGTTTGTGGGAGGAGTCAGTGAGAAGCCACAGAAGGGGTCTATATTTGGGGAAACATTCACTTGTCTGATTGCTCAAAGTTTCAAAAGATAACGGTTTGGAGATCGTTTTTGGTACGAAAGACGTGATTCTTACACAGGATTCACACGAAGGCAGCTGGATTCTATCCGAGTGGGTAGTTCTCTTGCAAGAATCATTTGTCATAACTCAGATAATGTGAAGGAACTCCAAAGGCGCGTTTTTGAAACCAGTACAGTAACGGTTCCCTGTGATGACATTCCATCCATAAACTTGAACTTGTGGAGAGAGGGTAAGTGATCGCGCGTATCTTAAACACTTCTAAAACATAATCAGGTCAACTTAGGCATTTATCTCCTCGAATTCGAGTTAATTTGAAAGTTTAATTAAAAAAAAGTTCGTATGCAACACTATCGCCTCTAGATATGGCTTAAGATGCCTGTTATGCGATTAGCATAGTTCACTTTCGTTGCTTACTTTTTCTCTCGATGAGTAACACTTAAGACAGTCTTCACCCTCGCCGTACCTTTATGAATAAATCTATCTGAAAAATTTGGTTGCTACTCCGTTCCTCATAACTCAAAACCTGACAAAAAATAATGTAGAGGTCTTAAAACTAAAGTAATCACAGCGGCCGGCCAATCAGAGCATAGAATTATTACTAGGGACCAATCGGCGATCGGGTTTAGTTCAGCATCTGATTGGTAGAGAGGGTTTAGAGAGAGTTTTCTGAGCCAATCAAAGAGCGAAGTAAAGCTAAGCCAGGGAAATAACCCATTACTCTAAACACTCAATGATAATTGTCCCAAGAGTGCAAATTTTAGGAAACAAACTCCCGTTTGAGCATAAAATTTCATTGGTCAGAAAATTCCAAATGCAGAGGGCCCGTTTACACGTGCTGAAATGAACCAGTGCACCAACCTACTGTTTCCACAGAGTTCCAAGAGTTTAATGGTAAAAAAGAGAATTTAACAGAATCACAGTTGAACAGATGTAATAAAAGATGGAAAAAAAAACACACACACAAGGCAAAATGGGAGAAGAAATTAAATTAATCACTGGTTTCTAATTTTTTGGTTTCCCCTCTCTAGATGCAGGAATGGAGGATGAAACTCCATCAGCAGAATGTGAAGCTTGCTCTGAGTCCAAAAAGAAGGGCCTGGTGATGGAGCCAAGTGATGCATTAACTACGGATGCGAACACACTTACAGCTTAAATCTTAGGGTCATGTCTTTCGCACGATGTTGCGATGTGTTAAGCAATTAATGGCGCGTTAAAGCAAATTTTAGACCCAATTCACTCTTTCACTCCAGGAAGTCAACTGCAGTAGTAATTTGTGCTCAAAATATCAGACAGGTCATAAGACCAACGAATATATCAGTTGATTGTTTGGTTTTAGACTAAGTCGAGTCCCTACAAGACGTAAAGGGGAATTTATGGAGAATTGGTATCTAGATCTTGAAAGTTGAAGGTTCTAAGTGACAAGGGACAATAAAAGAGTAATTGAACGTTCGGCGGCAACGTTGGTCTACGCAATTTCCCATTTACTCCTTATACTTGTAAGTAAGGTTAGACTCTGTTAAATGATTAGCGAGTCTTCAATAATTAATAAAATGCTTTTTGACGTTAATCTTGCAAGTTACTGTCTGACTAGAAGTAAAGATGAGATGACTAGGGATACTTTCAGTTTCACATCGAGCGCCCAGGCTTCAACTTTTTCTTGTTCTGCTTCTAGAATAAAGATGTTTCTGATCATTTCTCCATTCTCGAAGCTTTCAGATGAGGTTCATTTCATCGACCTTCAACATCGACCTTTACGACTACGATTCCTTTTTTTCGAGAAACTTCCCGTGGATTTGGAAACTAAAGACGTAACTCATTCATCATTAACCCTGACAATGAAATATGCTGTCCCATTATCTAGTTAAAGTACATGACGAACTAAAGCCAACCTTTAATGGGCGTTCAACCATTTCGCTAGAGTTTCCGTTTCTAGAGCGTTGGGACTGGCGATAAAATACATTACCTTATAGCACGTTTTTTTTTTCCTATGACCATTCAGGAAGAAAATGTGCGTCAATTCATTAGCAAATATTGCTCGCGTATTGATCTCTGGTGAATCGTGAATTCACTTTAATTGTTATCCCAGGAGGTATTCCCGAAAAAAAAAAAAAAACACTAAATCTTTGCAAAGCACAGCTGACTGACTCAATAAATTTATCAGATGCCTTTGTAAAGGTGGATTTTGTTCGCATCATTTAATTCTAAGGCAATGGTTGAATCATGTTTTGGATTTTAGAGACAATAAAGATTACACGCCGGGTGCTAAAACAAAAGTTTAAAAGGCAGAAGGTTAAAGGTTCACCGCCATATTGTAACATAATGGTGCTTTTCATGAACCATGTTCTTGGAATTGTCCGCGCGCATAAACAAGTAAAATACTTGGTATCCCTGTGTAGTATGGCTTGTATCACACTACTCGCTGTTACCGTCTCTTGAAAGACTTAACAAACCATTTACTGCATTTACAACTTTAGTGCACGTTGCGAAATAAACATCGTTCCATTCACTCCCTCACCTTTGCAGTGATACAATGACTCTTCAGATTTATCGGGTCTAATATCACATACCACAGGAAGGAAAAAGAACTTGGGTTGATTGATAAAGGGAGCAGAGGGTTAAAAATTTGCATTTTTTTTCAGTATGATGTGTCCATAATTATTTGGTTATTATAAAAACACTTTCGTCAGATGAGTCTGGTTCAGATTGTAACAGATAGCAAAACTAACGTCCAAGAAGAGTTTTACATTAGCATTTCATTATTGCTGCAATGAATAAATGCTACGTTTTTCTCCAGGGAAGGATTTTCATATATAGTCGTTTGTGAAGGTGGTTACATTTCTTGTTTTTTTTTTTTTTTTGGTAATAATTGTCTGTATTAATTCCTAAGATGAAAAGCTACATCTCTTAAGTTATAAAATATTAAGAAAACAAATTAAACAAACTAAACAAAAAATACCACTTGCACAGCCAGGTTATATTTAAAAATGGCTCGATAAAAAAAGGAGTTCTTGACCCTATCCGTGTTGAAATTCGGCCGGTGCCTCGATTTTTGACGGTCTTAGATTGTATCCCGTGACCTTCAGGTTACGTATAAGGTTTTCTCATAAGATGTTTCTCTTAATATTTCATCTTGTCGAAAATGTTCTTATCTTGTTTTCATAATACATGGAGAGTTATGGAGATATGTATCTCCGCTTGTGACACCGGTCTAGGAAACACTGTACAGTCGTAAGCTCCGCATTAACAGGACCGTACACAGATAGACCATTTGTCAAATTAAGGATAACTAGACTTTGAAAAATAGAATTGTCTAATTCTTCTTGAGTATAACCCTCCTTCCTTATCGATCTCAGGATAAAATGACATTTGTTACCTTTAATTAGCTTTTTCCATGCATGTGCAATGATTACTTCCATGACATTTTGTGCCAAGGAATTGAAGCTAACAGACAAAGATATCAAAAAAATGAAAGCAAACAGCTGTTCTTCGACGACGGAGATTGTAAGTGCTTCTGAATAGAGAATTGCGCGCCTTTTTCTGAAACAAAACCTTGAGCGGCCGAAGAACGCTTACATTTCAATACTTTCTCTTAGTAAATGAAGTTGACATTGGGAAGTTCATCCCTTGACGTTAGCATTACAAGCATCGCTTTTCCATTGGACAATAACCTGCCTTGTCACTCACCGGAAACTGAAGAACTCACGTTCATCACAAAAACTGCCGCATTCTTTAATTACAACGATGACCACAGTCTTTTGATGTTGAAAATCCTATACTCTGGAGTGCTTTGTTATTCAGTACTTAATTAAATGTCATGACAAAGCACAAAAAATTGGCCTCACAGCAAGAAACAGGTATTTATGAGCAGTACGTATATAAGGAAAACAGGCCATCCATCTCAAACTACAACAGCAAAGCTACCACCTGAGAGATTGATGTTACTGATCTGGTATCGATTCAAACTATTAAGTATTTTACTCTTTGAAGGAGAAGGTATCAATCTTCATTCTTTCTCAAAGGTAATTTCTTAATTTTTCATTATTTTCCAATTTCTTACTGATAATGTTTTAATTTCTTGAATATCCTTTTGACTATTTCTACAATCACTAACTGGTTGTTTGTCCACCCGTAGTCTCCATGTTCATAAATTGTTGCGTTTAAAACAGGGAATTAAAACATTGTTTGATGACACAAACTATTAAGTTTAGTTTTTCAAGATAGCGAGCGGGTGATGAATTTCTTTCCCCCCTGAGGATAATCGTTCCGTATATCATCCACAAAGTGTTCATGGCAAATGCACAGACGATTAATCCATTCTTGCACCTTTCTCGTGGGGCCAAGACGGCTTTATTTGGTTAATATCGTATGAGGAGAAAAGAGCTATCAATCAATTACTACTACTTGTTTCTTTTTCGTTTAGAAGTGAAGGACATCGGAATACAAAACTCTAAAGGAAACATGCAGTTTGTGAGGTATCTTAATTACCAATTATCTGCCATAGAATGGCTATAATATATAGTCCCCTGTCACAGGCAATGCGCCTGCACACTGAAGAATGTGATGAGAGTAAATGACACACAATTCAACATGCTTTTGAACCTTAAATGGAGCCGGTTTGAATTAGGATTTTGTTCTAAGTTTGTACCCGTGGTTCTAACCCTCATACATACCTACATACATCACCTTTATTTCACCTCGGATTTACAAGAGTAGCTATATAGCTAATTTCTCCGAGAAAGAGAAAGAAAATTAAGTGAATAAATAAATAAGTAAACCCTCGTGCCGAGAAGATCAGAACAATCATTGTATCTAGATCAATAACAATCTTTATGAAAGCAATGGCTCAGTTACATTTTGTACTTTATCACTTTGCCAATTAGTCATATCCTGGGAGTTTTACTCATCGTCGGAGCATGTGAAGTGCGTCACTCGTCCTCTTCTGCTATTGCTTACCAAAAACTGTTGGGTGCTCTTGGCAAAGAATATTGTGATCCTCTGAAGATGCAACTACATTGCTTAACCTTACGGTACCGAACGTTTAACGGCGCATGTAATAACCTGTGTAAACTAGCGCAAGGATCCGCCGGGTCGCAATTTGTCCGCTTTGTACCAGCTGCGTTCCAAAATGGTCAAGAACCTAGATTGGCTTCCGTTGTTAGCCCTTTCCAGCTGAGGAACGCCAGAACCATCAGCAATACAGTATTTGTGGCTACCTCTGAGAATGTGGGCGCGGCACCCAACTTCACTCACATGACCATGGCGTGGGGTTCATTCATAGACCATGATTTCACGCTAACCGAATCCAATCAGACGCAAGGGTGTGGAACTAACAATGCCCCTTGCCCTAACAACATTCCCGGATGTGTTAGCATTCCAATATCGCAGTCAAAACCAGATGATCGGCTTAGGTTCAATCTAACAGCACAATGCATTCCTCTCTCGCGATCGGCACAAAATGATGGCGAGCAGGTTTGTGTAATGCTTTTTTTTTTTCGCAAAGTAACCCTTTTACTTTGTCACTTATGTACTTTCTTTTTCACCGTCTTCCTCATAGAATTCATTCCAACTGAACACCCCCTCACCACGGTTATAGAATAGTAAATTTGCGGTTAAAACTGACGAGAAATGACACGTCTCCGAAACTAATAATGACATCATCGTTAAGAGGAACACACAACCTCATAGTTTCTTGAACCAAACTGAGATGCGGTCTGAATTACTCATTAACAATTGCTAAAACTTTTCTCACATTACTAGCTTCGAGAATGCAAGCATTTTCAAGTTTTGCGACTTGAAGTGGAGTGCTATGCCTAAATCTCTCTTTACACACTTTGTACAAGATCGAAAAGCTGTGATTGTTGTAAATGTATAATAATATTTATTACTGCACCCACTCTTTCTTTTCTTTTCTTTCCTCCTAAGGTGAACCTTGTTTCGTCTTATATGGACGCTTCAAACATTTATGGAGTCAGCATTAAGGAAGCGGAGACTGTCCGCGACCGGAAGTCAAACATTGGCTTGTTGCGCGTTGTTCCGCTCCCAGTGCCTCGCTCGGATAGGATGCCGGTGTCTCCTCCAGCAGATCCGAGCCTCTTCTGCCGATCTCCAAGGCCAACGCTAAAACCATGTTTCCATTTTGCTGATTTTAGAGACAACGAAAATCCAAGTAAGAAGCAAAAGATGAGGTGCTTAACTCACTGCAACAAAAAAATAAAAGTAAAAGCTTTCTTCTTTTAATACTTCTCAAAAATTGTCATAGGAGATAAACGGGAAAAATGCCTTGTGCTGATATAAAAGAGAAAGGAAATGCAGTAATAACAGAGAAAAGACCGTTCAATTAATATGACAAAAGTGATAAAAAATCAACAAGTAACAAGCAACTATAGGGGGCTTTATTCCCTCCAACACAAGGATAGGTGTAAACGTTTTCCTTGGACAATGACACTTGTAATTAAGGTTACGAGATAATTACAGACGAAAGAGCATTCAGTTTAGATGGATAAAAGATGAGATAAAATTCCATGTTTCGAGACTTTTTCGCGCCTGTTCCTTTATAATTGGAGTGTCAAAATACGATTACCTGCATTCAAGTTACTGGTCAAATTATCCTCACACGGTGTAAATCGTTACCTCCCTCCCCTCCCTTCCCTCCCTCCTACACTCAACTGGAATTGGTTCTCTTGTTGTTGACAGCACTGATGACACTTCACATTCTTCTTACACGAGAACACAATCGAATCGCAAAATTTCTCCACAATCTGAACCCAACTTGGGACGATGAAAAGCTGTTCCAGGAAGCACGAAGAATCGTGATTGCTCACATGCAGCACATTACATACAACGAATGGCTCCCGACACTGTTCTTCAGCGAAGAATTGGTAAGAAAAATTTTTGGTAAAGTCAATTCAGTGTTTCATTTTCGTCCAATTCGTAATTCGAAGTTGTCATTCGAATGCAATAGATATCCTTAAGTTATTCTCTTTTCTCAGCTCAAGTCACTTCTTCTTGGATACCGCAACAATACATCTGACCGGGTAGTTCGAAGCATGGATAACGCTATCTACTCGATAAATCACTATATGGTGGTTAGCGCAATACGTTTTGTTAACACTTATCCGCTAGATAGTGATTTATCCGTTGGATAGCGTTATCCGGCCTTTATATGACTGGACGCAGGACTTTGCCCCTAGAGTATCCCTACCCTTACACTAAACATAACCCTAGTTTTGAAAAACCACGAGTTTCTTGTGAAAGATGATGTTATTCGGTGAATGACTCAGGCGGCTTAACTGACAAAAAAAAGTACTCCGAAGGCTTTTAAAAGGAGTGGAATCTTCAACCTTCTGGTAATTACTTCGAATGCTCTACCCGGCACAGAGCTACAAGAGACTGCACTCGTTGCAAGGTGAAAAACTCCCTGTGTGCCGAAAGAATAGGATTGTTGATATGTGATGCTTTTGCGCAATGATGTAAATGAAGATGGCAAATTTTAAGCCAGGTGAATAAGTGAAAGATGATGTTATTCAGTGAATGACACAGGCATACCTGGAGAAAAAGAATCCGAGACCTTCCAAAAGAAATTTCTTATGTGTGGTCGTTTAAGCTTGGTTTTAAGTAGCGATGCAAGCACCAGCACATCTTCAATTTGCGTTTGTGCCTGTGCTTGCGTTGGTAGTGAAAACTAGGCTTTAAAGTACGAGTGTAGTCAGACACCTAAAATGTGGATTGCGACGTCCTGACTAAATTCTGCTTGTCTCCTTCTGGCGATGAAACACATTTAATGCGGCCGATAAACATTATAATTTTTCTTTTACAGAGACGAGCGAATGGTATTCAATTGGAACGACCGGGTCAGTTTTTTACGGGTTACGATCCAAAAGTAGACGCGACCACGTTCAACTCTTTGGCATCAGCGGCGTTTAGGATGGGCCACTCACTAGTTCGGGAAAATTTCGGACAATTCAGCAAAAACTTCATTCGACTGGGAGAAATCAGCGTGACAAGATTTTTCGACCCGTCCGCTCTTTACAAGCTTGAGAATAATGGTTTCGATGGTATCAATTTAGGGTTGATTCGTGAACAAGCCCAACAATTCGACAGGTGAGTAACCTTTCTGATTTTGACTCGGTCGATGTCGTTTACTACGTGCAACAAAACCTATTTCACAGAAATATTAGAGCCAGCTAGCAGTTTTTATCTAAATATGAAGAGAATCGACAGAAATTCTACAATGCACTTGCAAAATGCACTAAAAATTTCAGTTTGCATGATATTTCAGTATGGTCTCAAGCTGAGATTAGTTAAAGGTTATGAAAGCCGTTCCCAAAAGAAGGTTACTAAATTCTTTAGACGAAAGGCTTGTCTGAACAGGAAGTGAAATTTTTTGTTTCTTATTTTTCCGCCTTCTGTTGATGTTTGCTCAATTATTGAGAAAAAAAAGCCTCATTACATGTACCGAGTTTACTGAAGTAATGACACGCAACAAGGAAGTATAAACATAGCCATAGTGCATCTCTTCACCGAGACAGAACCTTCAATTACAAACAGTATTCTAACTAAAGTATAAAGTAACCAAAACTGATATCTTCCAATAAACTTTCAAACAAAACATCAACAATAACAATCTTATTCCTCATCATCGGTTCTAGGAACTTCGCTGAAGCTATACACGAAAGCCTAGTGATGCCAGGACCTACTCCAGATGGCATTGTAGCAGATCTATTGGCAATAAACATAATGCGTGGCAGGGACCACGGATTAGCTCCGTACGTCGATTTTCGAGCAGCGTGTGGTTTGGACGCGAATTTACCAGGCGGTGTTGCTACAAGGTTCGAAGACCTTCTGTCAAACATCAACCTGGATCAGATCAAAAGGCTAAAATTGGCATATATTCTCAGTAAAGACATCAACATTTTTGATCAGTTCGTCCGCGACATCGATTTGTATGCAGGCGGCATAAGTGAAAACCCTCAAACTGGATCTATTCTGGGGCAGACTTTCACTTGCATAATAACCAAGGCCTTCCAAACATTTCGGTTTGGAGACAGCCACTGGTACGAGAGAAAACACAAGTCGGGGTTCACCCTGGAACAACTAGATTCGATAAGAAAAGGGAGCTCCCTCGCAAAGATAATCTGCGACAATTCGGATAATGTGAAGGAAATTCAGCGTTGGGTTTTTCAAAATAGTACAGATGTGGTTCACTGCGACGATATACCATCGATCGACCTCAACTTGTGGAAAGAAGGTGAGTAGAAAAGTGTTGGTTAATGATACATGAAGAGTAGGTGAAACCTTTCCGCTACAAGGAAAGTCATATAATCATGTTTACCACCAGCTTATAGAGTAATTTTCACTCGAATTTCGAAGTGATCCAGGATTGATTTGGTTCTACTTTATTTTGCTGTTTGACTCATTTTCAAACGTGGGCTAAGAACCAATTTTCATAACGAAAGGATGATCTTAATCATTTGCCACTGGGATGAAACCATGACAAATGTGATTCCTTCCAAAGGATTCCAACCATACTTCGCTTCGATTTTGCTGTGCCATGCTCTATTTGCTGTGCCACTGCGCGAGGGAGAGAGCTGGCGAACTTAGTCTTGGTCAAAAAATTAAAATACAACCTTTTCTCTTCTTTCACCAGAAGTGTACATGGAAGATGAAGCTTATGGAGTAAAGAAGTAGACTGTCCAGTCAAGACCACGATTGCGACATATTCAAACGAAACCGATTTTAATGTTGAAAGTGTTTTAAACTTAAACGAGCCGCTTCGCAAAATATCTAGCGCAATCATGTTCAGGGCAACTGTACTCGACATTGTTTAAAACAACCGCACTGAATAGTTCGCAAATATTCAAAACTTTTTGTTCTGGAGTAGAACCTATCATTCCCTCTCTGAACAGCGACGTACATAAACTGAAGTAAGCATTCGAAAGAAAAATGATACAAAACTAAGTTAAAAGTAAGGTAAAATTACCGGAAAAGGCCATAAAAGTTGGGGAAGAGGAGACATGTAAAGCGACGTTGTGGGCCGCTTCAATGCATTCGCGTCGACAAGTGATTTAATTATCATTAGGATTCATACTAAGATACCAAAAAGCCAACATGTTTTGCATTATAAATCGTTCCAGAAACATTTTGACATTTTTAAAAGCTATTCTTTGCAGAAGCTAAATAAATAAAAACAGGAAAACGTACGCGAAACTTGGGCTGGGTATTCAGCTAAGTTGTTGTTGTTGTTGTTTTTCATCTCAGTAGAACCCTTCCCTGCCCGCTCGCATGAGTCATTAACGGGGACGAGAAAAAATTTATAGCCGTAGTCTAAACGTTGAAGCGTGACTAGATTGTTTCTTTATGTAACTGCAAGGACCAAAGATGACTTTCTACAGACTTTCTAATTCAGAATCAAGGTAATAAACGCACTACAAAGATCCATAATTTTCAAGCAAGAGGGTTTGGCTTACAAATACAGACTACATATCATCATCGAAAATATTTCTATTTAACGATAGACTTGAGTGTCTAAGATCAACCAGAACATTCCAACCAGTGGAAAAGCAATATCACCCTCCTCGTATGTTTTGCACAACGGTTATCAGAAATGCGATAATGCCTCTCAGTGCATAGTTTAACGTCAAGGGCCTTGAAACTAAGGCAATCTATTTTTTATGGGGTATTAATTTGTTATGTTCGTATTGGGTCGTAAAGTCAAGGGTAACGTTAAATTTGGTTTGACTTCGAGCGGAAGTGGTCACAAAAATTCTTTTAAAAAGCTTTAGGTCTCAATATCAAGATTTTGAAGCAAGTCTGCGCGAAATCTCTCGACTGTAAACGTCAAATAAGATTTGGTTAGATTATAGGGAGTGGTGGAATTTCGGAGGTTTACCCGTTAGGTATAGCTAAATTTTTAATAGTTATCCCGTTACAATATCTGTCCTTGGAACAGTTTCAAACGATCCAAATATACTTTGCGTGGTTATGCTCTAACACACCTGACCGCTTAAAATACAATATCGGTAACTCGTTATTTTTAGCCTTGATGATTGTATGACAGATCACACAATTTGAACGCCGTAAAGTCAATGATCCAGATGAAGTGGCACACTCACGTATATGTACTTTGGTCTAGGCATCCACACACGCTTGTAATCCCGTTATGAAAATGTTTTGAAAAGCATTCTTGGAGAGATAAGGAAAGAGTGATCCTTTGAAGTTATCACGAACAAATTGGACGGTAGAAAAAGTCCGATAAACACTGAACGTCACGGTCAGTTACATTCAGCATCTAGCATAAAATTCCAATGTATGATTGAGAACCAATCCTCTGATGTAGCAGCTAACCATCCCGAGACAGAAGAAACCACCCGTTATCATTCACCTGAGGAAGGCCACTGAGTAGTGAAGACAATTTGACTTTATAATAAATGGTGACTGCAAACTGTGATATCGACGGATCAGTGTTCATTACCATCACAACTACAATGAACAAACAAATCTTTTACACAATCGATTTTTTTGGATATGGTAAAATCTCATCTTTTGTATGGCATTTATACCAATCACTGACGACCATTCAATTTACACAGTTTGTATGAAGCAAGGTGTTGTTCACAAGCAAGCCCACCTTTCAGCCTGGAAACTCTTTACGGTGGCTAATTTATCTTATCAACTCAGTTAATAAAACCAAATCATCTTCTTAAATTCTGTCTTTTTATCGCTATTATTATATTACTTCCTTCCGTTCTTGTTCAGTTCCATTTGATCCACAACCCTTAACAGAAAAGAAGCATACAACCCTTCATATAATCTAACTAGAGCTAGCTCAAAATAGTTTACTTGTGGTGTTCATCACTAATTCTTTGCTGGAACGTGCCATTACACCTCCTTATAAACGGTACCCAAGGATGCCGTGTTATTTCTTAACAAGTTGAGGCCAGTTTTTGACCCACAATTTTAACATACCAAAAATAACAATGTCTTAGAAACCCCCTTAATTTTAGCGGTACGTGCCTGAACTCGAAGACGGGTTCGATGAGCCCATTTCTTTACTTTCTGAATTGCAATGATGATACCAAAATTCAAATTTCTGCTGGGTTTGAGGAGGTTTGAAAAAGACTGTTGTACAAATTCAGAGTCAACCTAACTCCTCGAGAAAGTATTGTAATGTAAAGCAGTCTAAGAAAGCAGGTACAACCGGATAGCATTTCTGGAACAATACAGACGACATCTAGACGAAGTCAATACGAGATTCTTTTTGTTAGCTTTATACCAAATACCTTCATATGTAAGATGACATGATTTTCCCAAACACAATATAAACTCGTGTATTTTCCCATTATTTTTCGCTGGAGAAAAATATAGAAGTAAGTATCAAGTGAAAAATGTAGTGGGTGGTGTTTGAAAAGAAACCATAGGAACTGAACAACATGGTGGTCAAAACAGCTTTACTAAAAGTTTGCCCTATATTCCATCTGTCGATGAAACATTTTCCATATCAGATAGAAAATGAAGCTAAAAAGAAAAAATTAACAAGTTTTTATAACTTTTGACTAAACTAGATTTTGACAAGAAAGGAAACATACGTTTTTCCAACGAACTTCGAAGCAAATGTCCGATAACGTCGAGGGCGGAGCCATTTACCATCTGATTACAATATTGCTGATTGCTCTTGCACAATCACATATTGCCTTCAAACGGATATTGGATCAGTTGCAAGACAAAACTTGAAACAGATTGGCAAGGAAGTTAGAAATTACATATAAGAATGATGGTTTCCTTTGACTTGAAGAGAAAAATTGTATATGTTGATATGAAAACGATAAACAGAGGAACATTTAGCACGCTGGGTCTTAAGGTTAAGAAATAGGGCTGAATAACTTCGACATAGAGGGAAAACACAATACAAAGAAAAACTATATCATTTTTTTCTTTGACAATGTATCTTTACGCACATCGTTTCACCCACAAGTTTACAATCTTAACAATTTTATTTGCCAGTTATAAAGAAAAAGGAGGTTTACATCAGCAAATGAGTAAGTTAGCAATACTTTAATAAATAACAATATTTTAATAGATGGCAAAGGGGCCTCGAGAAACCACGGGGCTTATACGAGGGAGGCCTCTCTACTAAAAAGAATTAGGGAAACACTGAAGTTATTTTATCTATTAACCAGTAGCTCTTGAATGACTCAAAAACATTGAACACTGTTTGGATTTCGCCAACGTTATCATTTGCTAACGAAAAGTGTAATATCGCTGCATTTTCAATATGGTGGCGAAGAAATTTCACTTATCAGAGATGTCCTAAGAGCTTCTAAGTCGTGCAAGGAAGGAAGAACTCAGAATAAACTCAGGGATTAAATTGATTAAATATGAATTAATCAAATTTCTTACCTTGGAACTCGATCAAGCATCGCGCGCGTTTGATGAAACTCATAGTCTAGATTGTAGGAAAAACACGACCTACTCGATGACAATTTTTTCAGGCAGGTTTCCTGACAATGAGTTAGGCAAAACGTTGCTTAACAACCTTTTTTGAAAGCAAAAAATAAACACCATCTTATCTACCACAAATGATATTACGTCAAAAAAACAAAAACCGTCATAAAATCTTGGTGAAGGTGGGCGTACAAAGTTTGCTTCGTCCCTCTCTATAATACAGCGCGCCTAATGCGTTTTTTCTTGAATTGGAATGACTCAAATTAAAGCAGTGAATCGCTTCCTTGTGGGATAACAAGTCTAGTGGTATCTTACTTGTACTGATTCTTTTTAGAGAGAATAAAAACTGTTATGACCCCAAAGTTACTTCAGCCATTTCATCTCCGAAGTTTGATACCCACTTCCAATTTTAAGACAATACTTGTGCACGAAAAACTTGTGAATTGACGTGAACAATTACCATTGGGAAGTGCACATGAATAGGTTTCTATCCAAAAAGCCAATTTTTAACTTCCTGAGGGGCGTATTGTACTAAAAGGTCTTTTAGCCGCAAACTTCCGACCTCCCCAGTTTTAACGGAATGGTGGCCTGTCGCAAGACATGTTGTGACGTCATGGGCGACCACACGCTTAAACTCTACTGTTCCCGAATTTAACTCCAAAGTTCACCTCTAAGAGTATCATTCATATAATCGAAACGACCTAGACGTACAACGAGTTATGTTGCTGAGCTTGAAGGGGTGCCAGGGTGCTTTTAGCCGCTGGATGCTAAGCAAGGAAGGTAAAAGTTTATTGCAACAGTTAAACCTCGTAAATGAGTCAATATTAGGTTTTACTCATCACCGACTTTGCCACGAGCATTTCATTCAGGACTGATAGCCCACGTAAAAACTTTTTTTTCCGGTCGACTTCGTCATTTCTGTACATTTCGGTTGAAACAATTTTAATTTATCAAGGATTTGCATGAAAACGAATTGACAAGGTAATGGAATAAAGGAAAGATTCATTCATAACTCTGAGGTAAAAAAGTTCAGGCTGTTTCGTGTTTGTTATTAAAAGTAGCAAAGAAATAACAACATTTTAGGTCAAAGTGGGCGACACGTTTATCTTTTAGAAGATAATTGAACAAGTGCTGAGGGATGAAACTCCGGCCATTTGTACAAAGTACCGTAGACTTCACACATGCTTATAGACACGCAGACAGAAGTTAATGTTTTTCGAGATAAACCTTACCGTTAAATGAAAGCATAAGTACACGATTTGCCATCTGTTGAAAACTTGATATGTTCCATATCAATGCTGAACCACCTACATTTGCGAAGGTAGCGAAAAAGTTATCTCATCGGAATGATATTTGTTGGCTCACTACCATCGTGCCTTATCATTCTAGAACATTCCACGTTTATATCACATTTGCGTTCGACTCAATTGGAAGCGATCTTCAAAAATAATTTCAGGAAGAACTATCAACGTTTGTTTTTGGGAGAGCATTTAGCAGCGATTATGGAAAAAGCCATGGTTGTATCCTGCTCAAATTTGGCTGAAAGGTAATCTGTGTGTTTAGTTTGGTTTGTCATGCTCTACTTAACCTCTGTTAGTAAGCTATAACTGCATGGTCTCTACACGAGAAAGAGTTACCACAGTGTGAGGGAAACATGTTTGTCTCTCTTTTACAGTACAAAGTTTGTTGCAGTTCAACATACGTTTAGTTTGAACATACATTTATTTTTTGCAGTCATTTCGTTTTGTAATATTGCTTC